GCAGCCCTAGGTCCGTCACACACAGCCGCAACAACTCCTGGAGCAGCCACAAGGGTATGCGGCCCCAGAGAGATCCACAGCAGGGCCATGGGACTGCGGCCACAGGATTTCCAGGATGACCACATGTAGTTGCGGCCATGTACAGATTCAGATGCCTGAACTATCAAGTATCAAAAGGGGCTGCCGAAACACCAAGGCATACTCACCCACTGGGATAACAGAGCGGCCATTAGCAATCACTAGGTAGCCATATGGAGCTGCCGCTGCCAGCATTACCAGTATAGCAACCACACAAAAACACAACAGGGCAGATCCCCAACAGGGAGCAGGGAGCTGCTCAACACACATCCCAGCAACAAATATCTAAGTTGTCTAAGGCAGGGACTCCCACAGAGCAAATAAAGCAATAGGGAGTGCCCATGTAGAGAAGTACCATTGCACACAGCACAGTGAAAATAGGGAGAGGAAGGGTACCCCAGACCACTCCAGCCCCTAATCACAGTAAGAGGAGGGAAGGAAGGTCAAAGTACTTACCAGTCGCAAGGTTCTGCGAAGAGTAGTAACTCTCAGGCTCCTGTTGCAGCCAGGGCGCTGTGAGCCTAGGGGGGCACTGTGACCCAGCAATAAGTCACCCTGTCATATGTCCCCCTCCTGAGGAACACTCACACGCTGCCCCAATCCAGGATAGGGCTGTCACAGCCAATCCCGCACGCAGCTAAAGGTCTGCATGGGCTCCATGGCTGAGCTGGGGAGACTGCAAGGATCTGCACTAACTGGCCACTTTATTAAGTACACCTTGCTAGTATCGGGTTGGACCCCCTTTTGCCTTCAGAACTGCCTTAATTCTTCATGCAATAGATTCAACAAGGTGTTGGAAACATTCCTCAGAGATTTTGGCCCATATTGACCTGATAGCATCATGCAGTTGCTAGAGATTTGTTGGCTGCACATCCATGATGTGAATGTCCTGTTCTACCACATCCCAAAGGTGCTCTATTGGATTGAGATCTGGTGACTGTGGAGGCCTTTGGAGTACAGTGAACTCATTTTCACATTCAAGAAACCAGTTTGAGATCATGTGAGCTTTGTGACATGGTGCAATATCCTGCTGGAAGTAGCCATCAGAAGATGGGTACACTGTAGTCATGAAGGGATGGACATAGTCAGCAACAATACTCAGGTAGGCCGTGGCATTTAAACAATGCTCAGTTGGTACTAAGGGGCCCAAAGTGTGTCAAGAAAATATCCCCCACACCATTACACCACCAGCCTAAACCGTTGATACAAGGCAGGATGGATCCATACTTTCATGTTGTTTACACCAAATTCTGACCCTACCCTCTGAATGTCGGAGCAGAAATAGAGACTCATCAGACCAAGCAACGCTTCTCCAATCTTCTATTGTCCAAGCTTGGTGAGCCTGTGTGAATTGTAGCCTCCGTTTCCTCTTCTTAGCTGACAGGAGTGGCACCCGGTGTGGTCTTCTGCTGCTGTAGCCCATCTGCTTCAAGGTTTGACGTGTGTGCATTCAGCGATGGTATTCTGCATACCTTAGATGTAACGAGTGGTTATTTGAGTTACTGTTGCCTTTCTATCATCTCAAACCAGTCTGCCCATTCCCCTCTGACATCAACAAGGCATTTTCGTCCACACAACTGCCGCTCACCGGATATTTTGTCTTTTTTGGACCATTCTCTGTAAACCTTAGAGATGGTAATGCGTGATATCCAAGTAGATCAGCATTTCTTGAAATACTCAGACCCGCCCATCTGGCACCAACAACCATGAACTTCAGCAAATCGTCATCTCCACATCTAAATGCATTGAGTTAATGCCATGTGATTGGCTGATTAGCAATTTGTGTTACCAAGCAATTAAACCGGTGAACCTAATAAAGTGGCCAGTGAGTTTATATTATTCAGCCCGTCACTCAGCTCATCTGTTGATTGAAGGTCTGATGAAAAACAGACGAGAGAGAAAAGGAAAAAAAAAAAAAAAGGAACCAAAATTCCCAGTAGGGAGCTTAGGTCCTAACTCCTTGACACTAGGCAAAAAACTGAGTTGGCTTGAGCTGTTAGGGGTGGATTTGGCCAGTCAGGGGCCACCCCTAGGCTGAGCTTGTGTTTTGTGCCTAGTGTCCTCAGGGGTGTGGAAATTTTAGAAAAAACTACTTGTCCAAGGACTGAAGTGGGGGCCCGATCTACTTGTCCTGATACAAAAAAAATAATTTTAACCAAAACCGTATTTAGCAGTGCTAAGAAGCAATTCTCATTGGTCAGTGCCGTCAGGTGACCGCGTTGACCAACGAGTGCTTGCAATTTGCGAGCGAAATTCAGAATATACGGAACAGGTACAGACTGGTGGACGGGAAGGACCGTTCGCCGAAAGGTAAGTATAGTGGGAGGGAGATTTGTGCAGATAATTCCATTCTACCAAATTACTTGGGAAAGTGAATATACCCTTTAGGGTTGGTGCAGACTTGGTGATTCGCAGGAAACGCGAGCATGTGCGGTTGCATCCGCATGTATGAGGTTACATCTGCGTGGCAATCACTGAAAAAAAGGTACATGTACCTTTTTTTGCGACATGCACTGCGCAGTGTTTTCAACCGCGATCGCGTGGGACCGCCCGGGCGATATTGCGGCAGGAAATCGTGCAATCTGCCTGGTGGGACTGGAGTGCCATTAGAAAGCCAGTCGTGCCAGGCAGATTGCGTGGTTTCCCACTGCAATACTGCCCTGCCTGTGCGGTTGCACATGATCGCGGTTGAAAACACTGCGCATTTATTCACATGCAGATGATGGGGGCAGCGAGGCTGATTTTCATTTATATTTATTTACTCTGTAAAAAAAATTTACATTTATTTTATTATTTTTACTTTATCGCCTTTTTATTTTTTACGTTTTTATTTTGTTACATTTTGGTTATTATTTTTTACTTTTTGTTATTTTTTTTCACTTAAACTTTATTGCTATCACACAGGTGCTAACCAGCCTTGTATGATAGCATCGGGAGGTGACAGGTACTCTTTATTGACCCTGTCACCTCCAACACAGGAGTTTTAGCACAACACTGTGCTAGAACTCCTGTGACAGGAACGAGCAGCGGCCGGGAACAGAGGCTGAGGGAGGGAACAGAGGCTGAGGGAGGTGACAAAGCCTGTCACAGCTTCACCGTCCGGCTGTCATCGCTCCACGCCCCCCGCTCGCAGCGCTCCACGTCCCCCGCTCTGTCACCGCTCCACGTCCCCCGTTCTTGCCGCTCAGTTACAAAAAAAATAAATCAGCCCTGCTACTTGTCCGTAGCAGGGCTAAAACACTGGAAAAAAAACCACTAGCCCGGAACTACATGTCCCGGGCGATACGAATTCCACACTCCTGAAGGTGGCGGTATAAACCTATCGATATGAGATTCAAGATCTCCACTGTATCATTCAATGAACGAAAGAGAAAATGTCTTTAACGTGACAGAAAAATCCAGCTGAATGTAGCTATACCATAACCTGGATAAATTAGGACCTTCACGGAACCAGTATTACAAAAATATTTACTTATTCCCAATGCTCCATCTAGTGGACATGCTGCTGTGTTCGCCAAGAGTTACATTTGTTCTACATAAGAAAACAATTCATTTTGCCCTATTTGTCCAGAATGAATGTAAACGTCAGTTTCGCAGATCGAATGGCTCAGTGAACTTTTTATAAATACACTCTATAGTAATGCATGAGGGGAAAAAAAATAAATGAGCACCATATGCACCCCATAGGACTATGTCATTCGAGCAGTTTTGTAATGAATACCAGCAATACACAGTGATTTGTTGCTTTCAATTTGACTGCTGTAGTCACTAAGAAGCAGTTTGTCACTGCTTCAGGTTAAACTAGTGCTAGACTATTAGGTTGCTGTGGTCTGCTACAAGTCACTTTTGTTCAGTAATATGAAGCTAAGCCATAGGTCGATGCAGAATGATTGCACCTGAGCTACAAACTAGTGTAAAAGTTAGAGATCCCATACAAAATAACTAACTTGGATTTACTTAGTAAGAAATTACTATACAGGCTTTAATCATCTCAGCAAAAACTGCTGATCCAATTTTGCAAATGTGAAATAAGTTATATGGGGGGTTTGCTATACAAGATATACACCCCAATTTGCCTTATTACAAGAAAATGAAATACAGTGTTGTAAGAAATCATGGCAGCACATTTTTTATGCAGCAATTAAATGAGTTTTGCATTTTTATTTATTTATTTGCAAAGTGGAGTTGTCCTTTAACAGCTTTAAAATGAAAACTGTAGAATAGTGATGTTTAGGTACATATAAAACATTGCTTAGATGTCACCTTCCTTTTCATGAAACTAAAAGCATATTACATAGAAACTACCTATCTCTATCTATTATATAAAAGAGGGCTGTTAGGAGGGAAAAGGTAAGCAAGACACATTTCCATGAATATATACTGTAAATATGGAGCACTGCATAGGCACAAAGGTTATCAGCAAATACAGAGCACAGTATGTCTGCATACTGAAAAATAGAATACCACCAGCTATAATGTACTATTGCTGGGATTTGTTGTAGTCCTCTATAGCTGGTGGTATTCTGCATTGTGCTATATAATGTACTATTGCTGGTATTTGTAGTCCTCTATAGTCGGTGCCATTCTGCATTCATTGCTTCATAATTTTACACTTTCCTTTTCACTATATTGCACACCACACTATTTTTTTTCTTTTTTACTTCCACCGCTCCAAGCTTGCTCCTGTGATGGAGTGCAATCTCAATACAAACTAGTAGTCCATCACTGGAGCCATTTTTTAAAATTTGTTTTATTGTTTATCCGATTAATCGAACTTAATAATCGGCTAACTAATCGATTTTGAAAATAATCGTTAGCTGCAGCTCTACTGAAAAATATTAGGTATTTTAAGCCATCATTTGTGTTTAGTTATACTGTACTAGGGAATAAAAACAGAAAGCCAGTTTACAAAATTGCAGATAAAAAGGAAACAAACTTAGACATCATGTTTATTAAACATAACAATGAATAGCATCAACATATCTGAAACAAACATTTACCATCTTAAAATATCACAATAAATGAGAACAATTACAAAGTATAATCTTCATCCAGAGCATCCTCTGCAGCCACAATGTGTGCATTCAATTATTCGCCCCTAAAAAACAAAGACAATATATGTTATTTCACAACTTTACAAAAATTCTGAACCCACAATTAGGCAAACTTCTGTTTTATCGAAGGGATTTGCTTTTCTTTGAGGTTGACCCTGATGGCCATTAGTAATTGTATTACACATTATATTACTTAGGTTATTATTGCAGTGTTTAACTTGTAGCAATTTTTTTTAGGTTTTCACAAGTCTGCTCTTCCATATTCTGTTATTGTGTTAAAGAGATTTGATTTTGGAATCGTTACTCAAAATCTGAGTTACAACAAACACGCCTCTCTAATAAATGAAGCACCCTTGCAGTAAGTGTAACAAAAATACTCCCTTTACCAACAAGAACAACTCTTAGATAATACTTCAGGAATGCCAAAACTGTCCTAGGGGAGAATTTTGTCCAAATGCAGGACTCGCTCACTTTCTAAATCAGTTTAAATCTGTTTTGGTTTGAGTAGCCTGTACAATCCCGTACAGAAACCGTATTAAACAACATCTACATAAAATGACAATAGACTATTGAAGTGCCTTGTGCACTAAAAGTTACACCTTCTCCTTACACTGCTATAAACATAAAACATCAATAATAATAGATTTCAGTTATGCAGAGCAGTGTCTTACTGTCCCCAATATCCCCAAAACCATATTGCAGTGTATTTCTGGAACATTCTACATTTAAATATTTCCAAGTAAAATATGAACAGGAAAAAAGTTCTTACCACTTCAAGCTTGCTCTTGGGGACTCGACAAATGCAGTTGGTTCCAAAATTTGTGTCTCTGGTCTGTATGCAGCGTAGGCAGCACAAGTTCTCATATCCTTGTTTCTTCCATTTTGCAATGAGATTCTTGTCCGCATACCCCTCTCTGATACAATAATCATACAATTCTAAAACACAAAAAGGCGCAAGAAACTATTAACTCCGTGTTTTTTTCCGACGGTGTATAAAAACAGCAAGAAAAAAAAAATGGGACAAGAAATGACAACTTGATTTGAGTGACTCGGTCATTTATACAGAACAGGATGCAAGCACCTAGGGGAATCACAGCTCCGCTGCACCCAAATGCCAAGCTGTTCTGAATGGGAAAAGCTCTGACACTTGCTGCACCCTCTCACCCACATAAATACTGTTGGGCCATCACTACAATGGGCTGCCCACAATAGGAATATGTGGGAGGCAATTTGAGGTGGGTAAGTTCTGTCACTAAGAGGAGGCAATGGAGCTTTGCTTTTGTCACTAAGAGGAGGCAATGGAGCTTTGCCTGATCAGGATGACCCAGCATTCCAGCATACAGGGAGCAATTATGTGTAGAAACCTCTTGATGAAATAAAATGTGGCATTTGCAATCAGGAGCAAAGTAGAAAAGACCCTGACAACTCCAACCCCAATTAACCCTCCTTAACACCAGCACTTTTTGTAGACAAACATTTAAAATCACTTTGGCAAAGTGGGCCCACAGCCAGAACAGCTTATTTGGAATTGTGGGTTTTAACACGTATCCCATTGCTCAATTCTGCTGATTTACATGGCATGTTTCAATCCGGAATTTATCTTCCAAGTCCTGTGCATGCTAAAAACATTTTACATTTCTTTGCTGAAAATCAAACTTTAATCTGCTATTAAAAATCATTTACTTACTGGATGGGCACCAGTGGGTCGAAGCACATAATTTGTATAAGAAATAGGTAGTTCTGTGGTGTCTCCACCAGGTTAATCCTGGTATTCAGTCCATAGGAGGAAAGGAGAGTTAAAGGCACTGGGAAACACTCACCTTTATTGGAGAATCTGATACTTATAAAGGGGCCAGTAACTGCCCTGATCTAAAATGTCCGGTCTCATCAGACAGTGAATAATCATCATTACCTGTGTTTAGGTAGCAGGAAGCTTACCTAGAAAACTGTAAACGAACCCAGAAATTTTAAACCAGAAAATAATAGAGTGAACTTGTAATTCACACAGACCTCCTAGTCTACAAGAATGACTGGCCAAAATTACATCTAAGGAAGTAAAAGAATAAAAACATATGCATTTTACCCAACCTGTTCAGCCAGTTGTTTTCTATTCCAGCACAATATGAAATTCCCATCGCCCAATGCCCAGGACATACAGTTCCGGGCACCGGGGAGGTGCTTTGTTTTTCTACATTTAGCCCTGCTGTGGGCAAGAAAGGCTAAAAGTAGAGGGAAGCCGCCCGACCACTCGATTTGTACAAGTGACCTGGGTGGCTATACAGCTGACTACACCCTTTTAGGGGACCCCAGGACCACGACAAATGACTTCAGGGTGGAAAGCAGGAAGGAGAGCAGAGAAAATAAAGTAATAAAAAAAAAAAAAGGCGAAGAGGATAAAAATAAATCAATAAAACCAACCTGCACGACATTGTGTGTGTGGGCCGAGTGCTGCCCCCATTCCACTGTGTGCCATATCGTGGTATCCGGGCATTAAAGGGTACGTTCACTTTCCCAAGTAACTTGGAAAAATGGAATTACCTGCTCAAATCTGTCCCCCTTTCCCTCCCCTCCACTAGCATGGGTGTACTATCTGTGCCCCCCATTGTGCTGTCCAGTGCAGCGTTGCGCTATGGATTTTGAATTTCGCTCGCAAATTGGCCACGGACCATGATGGACAAGTACAATTGGCCCCCGATTTAGACCTTGAAAAGTATTTTTTTTTTTTTCTCCAGAGCCACAGTAGCCAGGTCCTGGCTATTTACACTTCTCCTGCAGTCAAAGCAATACAGCTTGGTCAAGGCTGTGGTGGAACAGTGAAGTAGCAGCAGCCCATCATAAGGCTCTGAAGCCTTTAAGATTTTTATTTCTGTCTGTGTGCTTTTGCAGATTATCACTCCCTTCCTGCCTGGTGAAACTTGTCAGGAGGACAGGAAGTGAAGTTCAATCTTTGTATCAGGTAGCCAGTTTGCAGTAACCCAACATAAGTTCTAATCATTTCCCACTCTATCCAAAACTATTAAATTATTCTTGGCTTGACTTTTACCAGAAAATGACCAATGCTTAATTGTATTATTAATAAGATACTTTAAAACAGAACAATGATACCTTTGCTTATAGCTTTTCTCTTGTAATACAGGTCAAATATGTAACGGGTTTTCTGATGATGAATACGGAATATTGGCCACAGAGATTCCACCTTCCTCTTTCCTTCATGAGGCTCTGTCTCAGCTAGAAAATAAAAACCAAAAGATACAGATCTGTCAACATGTACCTCAATACTGTTCACTCCAAAAAAAGAAGAAGTCTTCTGAATTCTAGTAGAATGTGAGCAGGAAAGAAAATTCTTTACAATATTTCTGGTTTAGTAGCCCTTTACTTTAAAGCAACTAGGTCTCTAAAATGAATTCTTAAATATATATGCGCTGCTTTGAAGATACCAGACTCTCCGCTGCCTGTGCGCCCATTCTTTGTAGTAGTGATGAGAAATTGCCTGAGGAAGATTATTCAGAAACAGACATTTCCTGGAGTGTTGGATTAGTGGTGCCCAACTGCGCTCAATGGTCTCATCTGCCAGTCCCTACTGTGTCCGGTAGTGATGTTGGGGCTGGTGGGAGGCAACACTGCGCACAGTGGGGAACCAAGAAATTTACATGCCCGGAAATGCTGGTTTCAGAAAGTTCTTCAGCTAGAGATTTCTTGACAATACCGCAGAGACGAGCAGCACAAAAGTTACAGCAGGAGATATTATTTTCTAGCACATTTTTTTTAGGTATTGCTCTCTGCATTCTTACTGCTACCTTCTGAACCGGTTTTATCATTTACTAGTTTAGTGCCTGGATTCATTAGCATACCATTATTTAGCAATTTTACTATTAAAACCAAATGTAGCATTATATTTTTGCACTGAATTGCTGACTTTACCATTAATATTTCATGATGTAGGACTTAACCACTTTTAAAATAAAGAACCACTTCCAATACAGCTGAAAAATCTTATTTCATTCCAAAATGAGGTTTCATACCAGTCTTCAATATATTTATACCTTATAATTAGGAAACTTCTAAGTGTTTTCTCAAACCTAGACAGGTGCAGTTTTCTAGCTTGTCACTATATGTGGGACCTCTAATTCCATTTATTTTGTTGTCTGCTCATGAACCCTCACTAAATCTCAAATGCCATTCTCTGACCACAGAGTAGAAAAGCTATTCGCAGAGCATGAGGTGGGCAACCATTATATTCCATGGCTGCCACTTATGAAACTCTTTATGAACACGGTGTATGGTCTAGGACGCATCAGACTAAACACTAGGTCCTCTGCATCAGAGAAAAGACCAGATCGCCTGCATCAGAGGTCTGTAGTAATATTTAAATCAATTTGAGATAAAAAGAAGTGTCAAAAAGCACAACCTGCAAAAGACTTGTCCTGTCACCCATTACTGTGATCCTCGCTTTGTCCAAGAGTTATGGCCCCATGAACAATCTTTATTGGACTCCTCTAAGGGTGTCAGGTGCCTGCATTCAGATATATACAAGTCCCATTGCACCGATGTGAATCCATAGTCCTCGGGTGGGTGCTGCAGTGACTGCGGATGCCTGCATTCTTCACCACTGTGGGCATTAGAGATGTAGGTGCTGGCAGGAGAAACCGGAGATTGCAGCTATCCCTTATCATATATGTTACCTGAACCCATGACAACTCCTGTTATTAGAATCACAGGCTGAACCACAAATTCCCCCTCTAGTTCTCTCTAATGCAGATGGGCCGGTCTATGCAGACATGACGCCGCGACCCACTGCAGAGGGTGTCGCGACCCACTTTTGGGTCGCGACCCACGAGTTGAGAACCACTGCTCTAGGATATATTTTTGTATATCTTATTATACTTTTTTTTTTTTTATCATTTACAAACAAAAGTCAGGAGTATTGGTGTGGTTTTCCCCAAATCTAGCTTTTCACCATTTCAAAATAATGTCACATCATCCACTATAAGCCAGTCTTGTGTAACCAAGCCAGCTAAGACTGACTCCAACATTAGAAGACACAGAAGTCTGATAGTTACTAAGCTGAAAAGTATAGGGAATTTTCTGTGAAACATTACTGCAGTGACCACCTTACTAAAGTATTTTTTTTGTCTGGCTTCCACATTTTTATAAGCTTGCTCTTCTATAACTTGGGATTAAAAGTAGACTTTTTAGATAAGCTTACTCTGTCTCTTATGTAATAACAATTGAGATAGCTAACAGACACAGTGACGTAGTATGTGCTTAGTTTTCAGGGAGTCAACCTTTTGAACAGAGACGGATGCAGTTTGAGCCACATGCTTTATTTCGTTTTAAATATTGTATATCTTGAGGAATGTAACAACAACACTGTGAAGTCTGCGTTAACTCACCTTCTCTCATTTTCTGATCGAGCTCATCCAATGTAGGTTCTATAAGCTCCCATCCATCTGGAGGAGCCTTCCTGCTTCGCTTTACTTTCGGCATTGGTCTGACTCTCTGTAACAGTAGAATTTTGTTTAGTTTTGAACGCACTTTAAATAAAAAATATATTCTGAACATGAAGTACAAGAAATACAAAACATAAGCAATAAAATCTGACTGTATTATGAAACATGCACTATAGAATGCCAATGGAAAAGGATTCTTGACTCTGAATATCAATGCAAATTTTCATAGATGTTTTTTGTAAATGAGCCCATCATCAAGAAAAAGGGACACAACATGTACTAAGGAGATACAAATACTACAATATGTGTACCCAGACTAGCCTCCTCCATGACCCAAAGCTCAGTATATAGCAGTCTATTGCCCACGATATACTGAGGGCCCCGCAGCCGGGGCAGATCCCGACAATACTGTCTGGAACCACCCAGCTGCGTGATTGACAGCTGGCACTGCCCGGGGGAATCCTTGCAGGGAGCGGTGACTGACGGTCACTGCTCTCTGCAGGCAGATGATCAGAAAGGGAGTGCTCACTTCTCGATCAATAGAGCCGACCTGTGAAAGCTTCTTTGTCACAGGTCGGCTCTAACTATGAGAATGAGTGGAAATCACTCAAGTCATAGGGGTCTATTCACTAAGCTGCCGAGTGAACAACTGACCCCAAGTCAAGTGAGCCGAACACTGTTCGGCTATTCACTTCAGGTTCTCCCGGGCGCTCTGGGAGCCTCCCGCTCCCGGCCGCTCAGGAAAGAAATTCAGAGTTAGACTTACCGGTAACTCTCTTTCCTCTAGTCTTCCAGAACAGCTTATGAGAGATAGGCTCCGCCCCTTTTAGCAGGAGTACGTCACCCCTAGTGGTTTTAAAAGGCCCGCCTCTCTCTTAGCTCCTCAGTTATATCGAGAACCATAGGAAGACCCTGTAATGACAGGGACCAAAACCACAACAGGATATCACATTGAAATCACATTTCACAACCACTTACATAACCAAGGGCGGGAATCCAGCCGTTCTGGAAGACTGGAGGAAAGAGAGTTACCGGTAAGTCTAACTCTGAATTTCCCCTTCGTCTTCCAGAACAGCTTACGAGAGGATAAACATGAACTTACCCACTTAGGGCGGGACTGCGGCTTGGAGCACCTTTCTCCCAAAGGCCTGCTCTGCTGCCTCATTTAAATCCAGTCGGTAATGTCGGACAAAAGGTGGAAAAACTCGACCAGGTTGCGGCTTTGCAGATCTGCTCCGGAGTGGCACCAGCTCTCTCTGCCCACGAGGTGGCCAATTCCCGGGTAGAATGTGCATTTAGGAAAGGTGGAACACTAACCTGCTTAGCCCCATAAGGCTCCTGAATACACAGCTTCACCCACCTGGCTATTGAAGACTTCAAGGCCTGTTTCCCCTTATCTTTCCCTGAAAAAAGGACAAAAAGAGCATCCGATTTCCTAAATGCCTTAGTCACCCTAAGGTACTCCACCAGACACCGTCTGACGTCTAGGTTATGAAAGCCTGCCTCCTTCTGATTAGCCGGACTACTGCAGAATGAAGGCAAAACGATCTCTTGAGATCTATGAAAGTGTGACAAAACCTTTGGTAAAAAAGCCATTGCACTGCCGAAAGGGAACCCAGATTCACTTCTGCCCAAAGGAAGATTTCTTTCGCTATCGCCTGAAGGTAAGAACTCCTGGTTCCCCCGTTTGTTTAGGTAACACACAGTGGCTATATTGTCCAAGAGCACTAGCAGATGTTGATGCCTTATCTGATCTCGAAACGCCAGGACCGCGTTTAAAACCGCTCTAAGCTCCCTCCAATTGCAGGACATTCCTGCCTCCTGCTGGGACCAATGTCCCTGAGCCATCCGATCCTGCAGGTGTGCTCCCCATCCCCAGGCACTTGCACCCGTGGTAAACCTTATGGTAGTGGGAAAGGACCATTGAAGACCCCCTGACAGGGAACTTCGGTTTCTCCACCACCATAAGTCCCTCCTCACGGAAGGAGGAACAATAACCGCCGCATCCAATGTATCCTGTGAATGGTCCCACCTTTTCAACAGGAACCCTTGCAGACCCCTCTGGTGGAATCTTGCCCATTGAACAGCTGGTAGACAGGATGTCATGAGACCTTACCTGCAGCCGCAAAGGAGCTATTGCCTCCCCCAAAACTTTCGTAAAAATGCGAGGGGCTGAGGACAACCCGAAAGGAAGTGCTCTGAACTGGTAATGTACCACCGTCTGACCTACTCTTACCGCCAGGCGTAAAAAATTTTGTAACGTCCTGTGAATGGGTATGTGGAGATAGGCATCCCTTAAATCTAGTCTAGTCCTTCCAGTGTTTTTTGGGCTGTTCCCCCTTCGTATTCTGACCCTTGTTTCTGGGCCCCTTAAAGAACCTACGAAAGGGCTTCTTCTTTTTCTCTGGAAAATACTTTTTCTTATCAGCTGTACGTTCTAATATGGCCTCCAATTCAGGCCCAAAAAGAAGATCGCCACTGAACGGGAGATTGCAAAGCCTCAATTTAGAGGCCGCATCCCCCTACAAGGCCTTCAACCAAATCGCCCTGCGAGAAGAATTGACCAAGGCACCCGTCCTAGCGACCATTCTGACCGATTCGGCTGAAGCATCTGCTATAAAAGCAATGGCCTTGAACAACATTGGAAGGCAATCAATGATCTGTTCTCTCGGTATACCCGCCAGCAAGTGATTTTTCAACTGGGTAAGCCAATATTTCAGGTTCCTGGAAACACAAGTTGATGCCAAGGCAGGCCTGAGACTTGTACTAGCAGAGTCCCATGCCCTCTCAATCAATTTTAGGAACCTTGTTCCATGGCATTGATGCGTCTTCATCAAAGGGAAAACGTCTCTTTAGGCTGTTAGAAAAAAGAGGTTTCCTCTCTGGTTCAGCCCATTCCTTACAGATTGCATCTGCAAGTACTTTGTGCACCGGGAAAATTCTTGCTTTCGGCTGCTGGAGCCCCTGGTACATCAAATCGTGCCTAGAAAGCAGCACTTTTTCCTCCTGAATATCTAAGGTATCATACACGGCACCCAACAATTCATCTACCTCTTCTAGAGATAACTTATACTTGTCACTGTCCTCTTTAGCAGACGATCCCTGATGAGAGGATGCAGCGACGCTATACTCCTCTGGCTCCCTCTGACAGACCTCTCTTGACCCAGACCCTGTCTGGAGAAGCTGAGCCTGAGCCGGAGGCCTGGGAACCAAACCCTGTGTTGCAGCTAGTCTCAAATCCGCTATCAGGGATCTAAAAGAGGAAAAGGTAGAAACTAGCTCTTCCCTAACAGTGGACAACAAGCCACCGCATGCTGAGGCAGATTCTTCTCTGCACACCCCTTCAATGCATTTTTGACAGAGCGGTTTCTTCCAATCAGTTCCCAGTTTCAAGGAGCAGTGGTGGGGAATCCCCACAGAGGAGCTCACCGGCGGCCCACTAAGGTACTTCTGACCCTTACAAGGGTCTCACTGAGAGGGAACGCAGGGTACCTTTCCCACATCCCCCACCGTTCCGGTGACATGTCTATTAAGTTCGGGAGCTGTACGGGCTATTGTGAATAGCCCGTACAGCACCCCTTCGGTTCTACTGAACCAAAGGGGTCCTGGGGTCGAAGCTAGCCGAAGGATCGGCCGAAGCTACGGCTAGATCCTTCTGCAGCTTTGTGAATAGACCCGAGTTCTCCTTTAAGCTGGTCATGAACTGAAGGAGAAAAAAAACTCTCGATTTCCCCATCTATGCTAAACAGTGTGGATGGGGAAATCTCCCCTACCAGGCTATTGTATTCCAGAAGCCGCAACCCACAGCTGTCAGAATACATGTACAGTGACTGCAACTGATTGGCTACGGTCACTCTTGGGGTGACTACCTATGGCCTGGCTACTTCAACAAAAGTTATTTGAAAAATTGACATTTGTTGAATGAAAGGGTGCTGGCAGGGCCACACACTGCTCAAAATATAAGCAGTGTGTGGCCAGCTTTAGGTACGTTATGCACTCACCTCGTGTACCCAAGAATTAAAGAGTCAGTGCCCAGTAAATATAAAACTATCTAAAAAGAACCCCCCCCCCTCCTTGAAGCCCCATCAACAAAC